AAAATCTCTAGCATATAGAACATAATGTAGTCATTGATATACTTGTCACACCCTCTATCTGCTCCATGGATACCCTGAAAGATCATTTATAGAAGTTCCACTTCAGCATGACTTCACGTTCTTAGGACTGCTTTTTTTAATGATCAGAAACTCACCTCGTCATATAACTTTCTTAGCTCGGCACAAAACTGCTTGTCATCATGGTCTTCGCTAACGAAAGGAATATGTGAAAGTCTGTGTTCCTCATCCGCCTGCAAATTAGAAATTGGTTCACAGGTTAATCGCAAGATTACAGCTGATCTCCTATTCGGCACCCCAATCTTGCGATTATTTTGTTTACGAGATTAGAATCAGCTCACCCTAATATTGCACTCTGTGTGCACCCAATACGCCGTTCTTGGTCGAAGTTCGAGTGCTGGTAGAAAACGAACACCACATCGCTGTGCATTCATATTGCGACAGTCGGTAATCTGAATACATTTTCAGAAATAAGCGTATTATAAAATAAGATTCAAAAAGCTTATCAAGAAAAACCGAAAACGGAAGTATTCAAGTTGAAGGTGATTTCAACCTCTTTTATAGAGTAAAACTCAAATAATTCAAACACGTTGATAATGAAAACGGAACGAGTAAACCTCTAATAAAGAAACCCTGAATAAGAAGCGCTGAGTCTTTGATTTCTAACTCAAGCGGAGAACATTGGGAATGGTTTTTCTCGGCTCTCCGTATTGTCATGATTTACTGTTTGGTTAGTAATAAAATACTGATAGGAAACAAATAATCTAGACCTCATACCGATAACTGAAAGCTTCATTCCGCAAATGGGAATGCTGCTGCCAATTACGTGACCTTACACTCACTGAATCATCTATTTTAGCCTTATCAGGCACAGTTTACAGACGAAAAATTTCCTATTGAAAGAATTATCTTAAATCCGACTGCCACTTTCACCGTTCCTAATCTACATAGACACCCGCCTAGGGAAGGGATACGTGCAATCTGAAGCTTTCAAGCAAAAAACCCTACAATGCTTAAAAATTACCTTGAAATGTGTGATAAATTCGCTTAAGTCATCCGGTTCAAGATTGAGCCTAGTAGGGGTTGAGTCATCGTAGGTGTGATAACGACGAAGTGGAAGCTTTTTGACGATTCTAATAAAGTTGGGCTGAAAATGCAAATGTACAACAATTACGGCATTACAGTCAAAGAAAAAGTCATTGTATTCCACAAGAAATGATAGAGACGGAAAATTATCCTGATAAGAATACCATGGACTTGGACTAGGAAAAACAAAGGAGAATGACTTACTGCTTCCTCTTTTCGTATCCTTTCATCATAATCCTTTATCACGTTGAAATACACTTCCATGACTCTTCGACCGCATTTCAAAAACGCCTCATCTAACAGTCGCTCATCCTTAAAACACATTCATCAACATTTCAGGGGTAGGATATATGCTGGCAAACAGAAACATCTAGCAGAACCCACCTCGAACTCACAGTCATTCCCAAGCATAACAGTGATTCGTCAAGCAGTGACGAATCACAATCCAGGTCAGAGAACGCCTCGTCAATTTCCATTCTACTTTTCTCATCTTCCGAAGTCTCTTCCTTCAAAAAAAAACTGCGATTTGGGGAACACACGAATTCGTCAAAAAAACTGATGTAGGAAGCGGTTCAACCAGCAAGTTGCATTTGATACTTCCAGGCAATCCCCTTGCAACCAGGGTCAATCAGGACGAAAAAGAGTTCGGACTCTAGTCCGACCCCTACCTCTCTCCCATGGCGTGAGAAAGCACCGGCGTAGATTGAGGCAAGAGCCGTCCGCCCCCGTCATAGCGCTGCCACGGTTACCCATCAAGCATTTTTGAATGAATTCACATTAAACGAGAGTTCTTCATCTGGGGAAAAGTAATCCTCGACATATTTACCACATCAACGGTACACCTTTATCTGCAGTCGATCAAGTTACCGATCTAGGGTTTCTGATAACCAAGGATCTTAACTTCGATCATCACTGTGAAAATGTTGCAAGAAAAGCTACAGCTGTCATGTATAATTTGTTCAGAGCTTTGTCAACTAGGAGCCCCTCAGTCTTGTTGCGGGCTTATAAGTCCTACGTTAGGCCTATCTTGGAATACGGTACCCCTGTGTTCAGCCCATTTCGGGTTATGTCAGTTAAGAAACTTGAGGCCGTCCAAAACAATTTCACTAGAAAACTAATGGTGAGGGTACTCGGCTTTATGTATGACCAAATCCCTTCAGCTGCTGTCAGAAACAAAAACTTGGGTTTAACTTCTTTGGAGTTCAGACGGAGGAGAAACGATCTCTTGTTGTTTCACAAACTGGTACATGGCAAAATGGACCTAGATATCGGTGAGCTCTGGACGAGAAGGTCCTCAATAACGAGAGGCGACGGGTTAAAGTTAGATGTGGGTAGAGCCAGATCAAATATCAGGCGTCATTTCTTCACTTCTAGAGTTCTTTCCTTGTTTCGAAAGTTATGCAAGAAGCGTCGGATATTTACAGCATCCTACAATGCATTCAAAAACATTCTGGACACTTGTTTGAGTCCGTAACTCCATTGTACCAATTTCCTTCTCTTTCTTTTTGTTTTGTGTTGTATCCTTGTTATTGTGTTTCTATGTTTCTTGCGTTATCATGTTGGTTCTTAATTATTGTCTAGGATACGTGTTAAATTACAAATACGCACGAATCTGCTCGTGTAATAAATATATAAACCTTCTTTTTATGACCCATGAAGTTGTCCCATCATTCGCATGATCTGCGCCAGAAATAGGTAGCTATTATCACTCCCACTCAAAAAGGGCGATGTAAGCCGTGTAAGCCATTCACGAAATTCTCAAGAACCAATGCTGAAAATTACCTTCTTCTTCTTCAGTAATGACAATGGTGT